AGTTTCACAGTCAGGCGCTTATCCTACTGAGCCATCTCCCCAGCCCAAACACAACTATTTTGAAGTGATCTTTTTAACAAGCATTCCGACAAAAGCAAGAATATACATTTCATATACACTGACAGCGGGGCTGGTGAGATGGCTCAGTGGTCTAAAGCACCTACTTAGAACAAGCTTAGTAAAGCAAAGTGACCACGGTTCAATCCCCCAGCACCACATGCCAGCCAGCCCCGCCCCCTGGTGCACTGAGCTGGCCACACACACACACACACACACACACACAAAATAAATAAAATTAAAAAAAAAAATTTATTACACTGACAGCTACACTGGTGTTACCTGATTACAAATGAGCCCAAGCAGACCAGCCCATGTTCTCAGTGCAGCTTTGCTGTTCTCTGCTGGTCACAGTACATTTGATAACACGTATCTGAAGCTTTTAAAATTTTTGTTACATTTATTACTTTCAGCAGGAGAAACTGTAAGTAACTATAAGCTAAAAAGTTAGTTTAGTTGTAAGCAATGCAGTTAATGCAGTACTGATTCTCACTATCTTCAGACACTGTGGTGGACACTCTATATACATTAGTTTTGTTTTGTTTTTCTTTTAATGTGTTTAGTACAGGATCCACAGGGTCTCACTACACAGATCAGACTGCTAGGGATCCTCCTGTTTTCAGCCTCCCAAGCACTGGGACTGCGGGCATACCACCATGCCCAGTCTCAACCACCCTCTCAGCATGCTGGCACAGCATGCCAGGGATCAAACCCTGTCCCTGCGGCTACCTAAACAGGCACTTTAATCCACTGAGCTATCTGGCCAGCCCCCCTATATACATTAACATACTAGCCTTAAGACTACAGCATGAGGCCCCAGAGGTATTGTGTGATCCACAATCAGCTTTTTGTTTTTTCAATAAATGTGCCTAGGGCTGGAGAGATGGCTCAGTGGTCTAAAGCACCTACTTAGAACAAGCTAAGCTAAGCAAAGCACAGGGACCACGGTTCAATCCCCCAGCACCACATGCCAGCCAGCCCGCCCCCTGGTGGGCTGAGCTGGCCACACACACACACCACTCTCTCTCTCTCTCTCTCTCTCTCTCTCTCTCTCTCTCTCTAATAAATAAAAAAAAATTAATAATAAAAAATTAATAAATGTGCCTACTTTACCCAATTTTCTAATAAAATTTATTACTGTTACCTGTTTATTTAACATTTTTATTGTTGTCTTCTCTGTTTTAATCTACCATTTTATGTCATTATAGTCTTATACATCTTTTACACAAGGCAACTAATATCTTTTCTATGTTTTTGTTGTTTTGCCTTTTGTGTTCCATAGCTTCACTGTAACATGAAAAGAAGTGGAGTTATTTAATTTTCTGCTGAACATTCAGAGTACATCTTTAAAGACTTCCCATCAACCTTAGGAATCTCTCAAATCAATGCTTTTATAATGTCATCTTTTTTCTTTTCTTGTCTCCCTTTGGGAACTCAGTAAATAATTACTGCACATTCTCATTCCATTCGGGGTATTTTCCAATTCCTTCTTATATTTTACCTTTTTCTGTATCACATTTAGGAAAACCAATCTTCCACTTTACTAATTCTCCCTTCAGTACATTTGTTATTTAAACCATTCTCAGAATTTTACATATTTATTCTTTGCACTGTAATTCCTAGCTCCACAGATAATGTCATACTGTTCTCTTAAAAACAAAATGTCTAATACTTTTAGAAAAGTTAACTTTTTTCCCCTCTGGTACTAAAGAATGAACCCAAGGGCTTCACAGTGAGCTGTATCTCCAGTCCTTTCGTTTTGCTTTGATAAAGAATCTTGCTAAGTGCCTAAACTGCCCAGATTGGGTTCAAACTTGCAGTTCTCCTGCCTCAGCTTTTTTTTTTTTTTTTGCGGTACCAGGGATTGAACTCAGAACTATCTCCCCAGGCCCTCAGCTTTCCAAAGTGCTGGATTACAGGCTTGCCATACCCAGCTAGAATAATTATTTTAGCTTTCCACTAAAGCATAATACAAATTTATAATGTAAAGGAGAAAGTTCAGATTGAGAGTGTTTTTGGCCACCAGAATTAAATTTTTTAAATTCTAATTGTTACAGTCTCTGCCTTTACTTTTAAATGAAAACAACACTAGTACAGCACTACATAAAAAACCTTGATATACAATGTGAGTGGAGTACACTCAGGCATAAAGAATACGCCTCAGACATTTCTAGGCAAATGGATGCGCACTGGGACAAAATGCACTGAAACCCACATGTAAATGTTGCACTGCTTCTCCGGTGTGAGAAGCTGAAAGAGCAGCACCTAGTAAGGAGCCAACAGATAACAGGTAAACAGGAAGAAAATATTCAAATGAGGAGGAGACCAAAAGGGGAGGGGAGAGAAAGAAAGAAGACAAAAATGGAAACAAAAGCTTTTGTAAATGGAGAGCAAAGGAATAAAGGGAGAAAAAGGGAATGGGGAAGAAGAGAAACAAGTTACATCATGTACAGTACACAAGCTCTGAATGACTGATGAATATGTACACCTCATAGGTACCAACACAGTCTGATTGGAGGGGAAAGAAAAAAACTAAATAATACTTTGAAATAAGTTTGAGTCCATAAGGGATTATCCCTAACAGAACAGAAAACCAAGGCTTAGAGACAGAGTGTATGCCTCTGTCAGGATCGACAGCGCAGAGCAGAACCCCAGACTAAAGAGCAGCTGCTAGGACCTGCTTGCACGTCAGGCTGGCTGCCCTCAGCCTCCATGCCCAGCTGCCAAGGCTCCAAATCTCTTCCTTCTTGTAGCAAGACTCTGACACCTCCCGTAAGAGGAAGGCATGGAAACTCAAGGATGTAGTACAGGTCTGACATCCCTGAAAGCCATTTTGTCAGAATGTAGAGGTGCCTCCTCTGAGGAAAGATGCTTGCTCTGCTAAGGGGCATAAACCTCATGTTCAGTCAGAAGTAGTGGAGGAGAGGGCCGGCCTGATAGATCAGCGGACTAAAGCACCTGCTTAGGCAGAGTGCAGTGGCCAGGGTTCGATCCCCAGCTTGCCGTGCTGGCCCCACCCCTGGGGCATGCTGAGATGGCGATTGAGACTGGGGGCGGTGGTGTGCGCCTGTAATCCCAGCATTGGGAGGCTGTAAACAGGAGTATCACTTCAAGTCCAATCTACGCAGTGAGACCCTGTAGACCCTGTTAGACCCTGCCCTAAATACGGGGGGAGGGGAGGAAGTGATGGAGGAACAAGATGTAGGAGGACATGCAGAGACAACTACTGCATGTTAGACACAGCCACCAACTGCTCACAATATAGCCATTATGCAATGCAAACATGCTAATAAAAACAAAGTTGTTCACTGGATTTCAATTTTAAACATAGTACTTCTAGTTTCTATACACTTATTTTCCAACTTGTCTTTTTTTTTCTGGTAGTGCTAAGCATCAAAGTCATGCTAGGTAAGAGCTCTGCTACCGACCCACAATTCAGCCCCTTTTTATTTCCTGACAGACGTCTGCTAAATTACTCAGGCAGTCTTGAAGCTGAAATCCACCTGCCATGGGTATTATTTAATAGGAAGAAAAGGTTCCTGTCCTAGATCTTAGCTCCCCCTTTGTGTAAGCCTTCTAGCCCAACTGCTCTATTTATTTTTTACATTATCTCAAACCTTTCCTAATATTTTGAGTCTCCTTTTTGATCTTGAATTATCTCAGTTCCATATTCCATTAGTAGCATCTTTTTTTTAATTAATTTTATTGAGAAACAAATAGCAATGAGGCCATTCCAAAACAGGTTAGCAGGACAATTACAATAATTAATACACTGCATATTGTTGTCTTCATAGTAGTTATTCCTAATACAAGATGCAGACATTTACAGTTGTGGTTTTTTTTTTTTTTTTTTTGGTGGTACCGAGGATTGAACTCAGGGCCCTGTGCTTGGCAGACAGGAGTTTATTCTACTGAGCTATCTCCCCGGCCCAAGATCCAGACATGATCCCCTGTCCAAACAGTATTAGTACAAATCTTTCTTCTCACTGAATTAAGAGAAAGTAGCTGTATATCTATCTTATTTTATATATACAGATACAAAATGGTCCTTCATTTATATCCACTTTCTGTTTAGTTTTGTCAGAGATGAGTAGTCCATTGCCATTTAAATATTGTAGGTGCATAAATTCAGCAAAATAATCCAATATAGTTCAGTAATCCATAATAGTAGTGGGTTATCCATAGGACTGGCAATGTCAGAAGTTGCTGACTTGAGCCTTCAGCAGGTTTTTTAAACTAGCAGTTAATTGGAAGGATTTTCATCCTAACTATATATGCTGCGTAGCACCTTTTATGTTGTCATTTTATCATTTTGATGCTCTCATGGTGTAATCCAGCTTTACATTATATCATGCTGATTCTTCCTGTCTTCTGTTACTATGATTTCTTATTTATTTATTTATTTATTTATTTTGTGGTACTGGGGATTGAACTCAGGACGCTGTGCCTACTCTACTGAGCTATCTCCCTGGCCTGATTTCATTTTTAGATCCACATTTTAGATCCAGAAAGACTTTATATTTGCTTCTGTATGACAACTGCATGCTGACCTCACAATTTGGATATGACAGCATAAATTTCTTTTCTTTTTTTTTTTTTTTTTTTTTTGTATTTTAGGGAAGGGTCTACAGGGTGTTAAGGTTCTCATTACTAGATCGGACTTGTAGTGATCCTCCTATTTACAACCTCCCAAGTGCTGGGATTACAGGCGCACGCCACCACGCCCAGTCTCAATTGCCGACTCAGCACACCCCAAAGGCAGGGCAAGCGCAGCAGGCCCAGGGATTGAACCCCCGGCTCCTGTGCCTGCTTGCAGGCAATTTAATCCACTGAGCTATATTTGGCCTGTCCTAGTATAAATTTCTTTTGTCCAAACAATCCTAAACATTAAAATTAATTAAATTTTATATGGACAAAATAGGTTTAACAAGACAAAAATATACCTTTTCAGCCGAAGAACCTGTCAGGACAAAAGTTGAAAAAACTGGAAGTGGGTATTTGGTTTGAGGATCCCAACATTCAATCATGGCTCCCATAGGAAGGCAGAAGAGGGGGACAGATTCTGAGAGTGGAAAAGACTCATAATCTTCCTCTGGGTACCTGAAAATTAAACCTTTAGGAGAAAAGAAACAATGATAAAGTGTTTACTTTAAAAGTTAGTTTTATATAAATTATATGATACACATTAAGAGGCTATTTTATTACCAAATTTCATGGGCATATGTATTTGTGTGAAATTTTAAATTTTTTCTTGCTATGACAGAAATCAAATCTTTTTCTTGCTATGACAGAAATGAAAGTAAGGTAATAAATTTACTTTCTATATTTTACCTATGAACTAAGTTAATCACAAAAGAAACATCAAATAAACTAACTTAGACTTGATTCAACAAATACTGATCAGTAGTCTTAATACATTTTTTCCCTACATACACTAATATCTGGAGGAGACTAGTAACATAGAAGAAATTGTAACAACTATTGCAATTAGTCTTTGGAAAAACAAAATTCAGGGAAGAGATAAGTGTTATAAAATAATGCCAAGGCAACAGAAATCATCACAACTGCTGTGGTCCTCACGCTGAACGAGCAGCAGAGTAAAGGCATGCAACATGAAAAGTAATAAAACACAAACCCTGCGACTGAGAACAGAGCATGTGAGACTCAGAAAGTAGGAACAGAAAGCACTCTGAGAAGGGTTTTTAAAAGCCCTTTGGACTAAAGTACCTCAATGACATTAGTTAATTAGCCTGTAATGTTGCCAATATATAGGCCACTTCTACATTAAAAACTTTGAAATCAGTATTAGAACTCTGAGTACCAAGTCTCCAAAACTCTGTATTCTAAAGTGTCTCATATCACACACCTAAATACTTTTACAAAGCTTCTTTCTCAAAGTTTTTTTTTTTTAATACCTTCTCCCCACCACAAAAAAAAGAGTGCATTTCAGGAAATCACATACAATCAACACATTACAGCAATAGTAGCAGTATCATATTTTTAAATGATACTGAACTTATATTGTTAGTGTTGCCTTTATTTTTGTATTATAAATTAAATGGTTTGATTCACTAGTATGAATTTTTATAAGCACAATCAAGAACTTTCAGATAATATACCTGACTTCCCTGAAAATTTCATTTCAAAAACTGTGCATCATCAAAGAGTAATTGGCACTACTTCTTTTTACAAAGAAGTATTCCAGCATCTCTTCCACTTACAACTGGAGCATACCTGTATTTTCAGTTTTTATCCCACCATACCAGTGGGATGAAGAGGTCACACTTAAATCTTTACAGCCCTTGACACTTTACTGTGCAGTAACAATGTGGCGATAGCTTTCTCAAAAACTTCACGGCAGAAAAGTTTCTCAGGCCCTCCTCTCCTCCACATAGCTGATGCTTTGCAACAAGGGAGAAAGGAAGCAAGTCCACCTTTCATGGCAAGTAACATGTGGTTTCAAATCAGACACACAAAGATAAGAGAAGGAAATATAAGAAGTAAAGATGCAGTTTTCACCTTTCTGATTGCCAAAATACAAAAGGTCAGAGAGTAAGCAGTTTTCCATTAAACTGTTAAATCTATTAGTGCAGACCAAAAGCTTGACTGCTTTTACTCCACATATGCTTTCTTTGGGTAAAAGCTTAAATTTCATTAACAGCATACTTGGGGATGAAGGGACATAATGCATTAAAAGAACTTATGTTTCACATGCTAAAATTATAGACAATTCAGTTTACAATAAAGCAATTCCACAAACTATACAAAGGAACACAGACAGTCTCTCTTAACTAAATGTTACTATGCACCAATAACTACAGTAACAGAGACAAATCTTTAATTCACTTACCAGCTTTATATGCTATTGCATTTGAAGCAGGCACAGACTTCTTATAACACAAAAACACACTGGAACCCCACTGTAAAACAGAAATTAACGGTAAGAACAGATAAAATGAAAACCTCTTTTTCTTGAATGTCATCTAAAGATTCTGATTACTCAGGAGAGTTTACTGAAAACCAATGCTTCTAGGGCTGAGGGTGCAGCTCAGTGGTAAAACGTGTGCTTGAGACATACAAGGGCCTGCACTCAGCCCTGGCCACACCAGCGGCAACAACGCAACGTGCTTTCAAACAGACTACACAGCGTAAAATACAGCAAAGCACTGCTAAGAAAACCTGAGTAAGAAAACATGATGATATTCAAAGTTTAGAATTACCCAAGCAGTCACAGACCACACCAGCTTGAAGGCACCGTGATGCAAGCACTAGACCCTCCAGCAGGGGCCATGGAGTTCTAAGCTATGAAGATGCCAAGTGTAGAGACCACCATACCTTCACTAATAGCTAGAGATACACAATACCTCTGCCTGCACCAGCCATGTCAGGGTAATACTAATTTGATCTGAAAATAATTTTCAAAATAAATCTAACTCAGGCCGGAGAGATGGTTCAGTGGAATAAGCGCTTCCCTGGCAAGCACAAGGGCCTGAGTTCAATCCCCAGTTCCGCCAAAATAAATAAATCTAACTCAATACTCAACTGTAAGGCCAGACATGATGATGCACAGCTATAAACCCAGCACTCAGGAGGTTGAGGCAGGAGAATCGCTAGCCAAATAGCTCAGCGAATTAAAGCCCTGCTTAGACAGACTCAGGGGCCAGGAGTTTGACCCCTGGGCCTGCTGTGCTGGCCCCGACCCCAAGGCATGCTGAGGTGGTGATTGAGACTCAGCATGGTGGCATGCGCACCTGTAATGTCAGCACTTGGGAGGTTGCAAACAGGAGGATCACTATGAGACCGATCTACACAATGACACCCTGTAAACTTTCTAGAAAAAAAAAAAAAAAACAAAAAAAAAAAAAAAAGCTAATGGTAATAAAAACAATAATCATAAAAATACGAGGCGCCAAGCCCAGGCCCTCCACATGACACAGGCCTTTCCCCGCATTCTCTGGACCTCCCCCGCCCATCCAGAGCCAGCACAGCCCATCCTGTGAGTGAGAACTTCCGCCACGCTCTTGGGGGTCCTGCAGACTCACCAGAGCAAAGCCCAGTGAGTGTATGTGAGAGCTTCTGTGCGCTCTTGCCCCTCTCCTCATACCCCTCCAGACCCAGCCCAGACCTGGCATACAGGCTTGGGGTGAAATCCTGCACCTAAAGTCCCTGCAGTGAGACTAGGGTCAAAACCACGCAGCTAATCCAGGAACAGAACATCTTACCAGAGGGGCAAGGCAGCCCCACCTCCAAGGGCAACAACAATAAGGAGCTGAGCACAGTAGCCAGACCCAAGCCAGGTTCAACTGCATGAACTAGAACTTGGTATATCAGTACCTGAATTTCATTAGGTGATAAGGATCTAACTGCCCCAAAGTTCTATACCAAAGGTCAGAGGTCAGTGCTATACGGAAATGATAAAGACAAGGAGCAAAATGCAATCTCAGGCCTCAAGCCCACCAAGAACAAGTGAAGAGGACACTAGCTCAGTCGAAATGTATGAATCAATAGCGTTGGAAGTAAATAAGCAACAGCATACAGAGTAACTCAGAGCAGAATTAATTTCTGGAACAAAAAAAAAAAAAGAAAACTCTGAATTCATAGCATCTGAACTAAAGAATCAAATGCAGAAACATATGGAGAAAACACAATGCCCACCCAGAACAGGTGCAATGGACACTAGCTTAGCTGAAGTATATGAATTAATAGCATCGGAAGTAAATAAGCAACTGCAGAAAGGTTTAAAGGAACTCAAAGCAGAATTAATGTCTGAAATGAAAAAAGAAATCTCTGAATTCACACCATCTGAACTAATGAATCAAATACAGAAACACAGGGAGGAAACCCAATCTGAAAAAAACTCTGCAGTGAAAGAATTAATAACTGCTTCTAAAGAAGACATTGATAAAAAAAAATACAGGAAATTTGAAAAATGATGGATTCCTTGAATGAGCAATACAGAAAAGAAATAGATCGCATGAAGCAGAGTCAAAGAGATATAGAGGAAATTAAAATCTCAATCACAAGCCTGCAAAACCGTCTGAGTGAAACAGATGTTGAAGATGTTGAAGATGCTGGTGCAGCTAGTGAAAAGGTAAGAAAGGATCTCTTAAAAACAACGAGGATGCAGGAAAGAATAATGCATCACCTGCAAGATGATGCAAAGATGAACAATGTGAGACTAATAGGCATCAATGAGAAGGAAGGAGTCAATACAAATGATATAAAAAGAATATGGGCAGAAGTAATAGCAGAAAACTTCCAATATGAGGAAACAATCTGACATTCAGGGAACTGAAGCATCCAGAACGCCAAATAACTTCAACCCAATTAAAAAACACAACAAGACATATAATAGTCAAGGTTCCAGAAATCCAACACAAGAATATCATACTGAAAGCTGCTAGAGAAAAGAAGCAGATCACATTCAAAGAAAAATCCATCAGAATTACAGCTGACTTCGTTTCACAAACCATGAAAGCAAGAAGAGCATGGAGAAAAGTACTTCAAGTCCTCTATGAAAACAAATTCCAGCCCAGACTACTATACCCTGCAAAACTCTCTTTCAAATTTGATGGAGAAGTGAAATACTTTCAAGACAAAGAACAACGAAAGAATTTCATGGTGGCAAAGCCAACGCTACACAGATTACTGAAAGATGTTCTAGAGAGGGAGCAAAATGATCAGAACTCCACGAATGAGATCAGAAGCAACCAACTAAATAGGACAAGTAATTAAACACAGGAGAAAAAGGAGTAAACAACAACAGGTAAATAACATGTCAATCGTAAATCAATACATCTCCGTTATAACGATCAATGTGAATGGACTCAATTCACCAATTAAGAGAAACAGACTGGCACAATGGATTAGGAAACAAAATCCAACAATAGGCTGTATACAAGAAACACATTTAACTCATAAAGACATTCATAGGCTGAAAGTCAAAGGATGGAAAACAATACTACATGCCCCAGCACATCAGAATAAAGCAGGGGTAGTAATCTTGTTCTCAGACAGTCTCAACTTCAAACCAAGAATGATCAAACAAAATAAAGAAGGCCACTACACACTGGTTAGGAGAAAAATTCAAGAGGAAGAGATAACATAAATATGTATGCACCGAACATGGGAGCATCCAACTATACAACACAGACCTTAACAGACATGAAAAATCTAATATCCAATACAACAATCTTAACAGGAGACTTTAACACCCCTTTATCCCAAAAAGATAGGTCAAGCAGACAAAAAATTAGCAAAGAAGTAGCAGAACTGAACCAGAGCTTGGAACAAATGGACTTGGTAGACATATACAGAGTGTTCCACCCAATCATGGTGGAATACATGTTTTTTTCAGCTGCACATGGGTCATTTTCCAAAACAGACCACATACTAGTACATAGGTCATGCTTAAGTATATGCAAGAAAACAAATTATCCCATGCATATTATCTGACCATAGTGCAGTAAAAACGGAAATAAATGACAAAAGAAACTAGAAAAAAACCCTAAATACATGGAAATTAAATAACACCCTACTCAGCAATCCATGGGTTACACATGAAATTAAACAAGAAATCCAACAATACCTACAGTTCAATGAAAATTCATCCACAACTTATCAGAATTTATGGAATGCGATGAAAGCAGTTGTCAGAGGGAAATTCATAGCTGTGAACTCACACATTAGGAAAACAGAGCGGGAACAAATAAATATCCTAATGTTGTACCTTCAACAAGTAGAAAAGGAAGAGCAAACCAAACCCAGAGCCCAAAGACAGGAAGAAATCATAAAGATTAGAGCAGGAATTAATTCAACTGAGATGAAAACAGTTCAAAGAATTAATGAATCAAAAAGCTGGTTCTTTGAAAGATTAAATAAAATTGATAAGCCCTTAGCTAAACTGATCAAAAAGAAGAAAAAAAAATTCAAATAAAAGCAATAAGGAATGAAAAGGGTATAACTACACAGATCCAGTGGAAATTCAGAAGATTATCAATAGCTACTTTGAGAATCTTTACACTCACAGAATAGAAACCACAGACAAAATGAACAGATTCCTAGAAAGGTACAAATTACCAAAACTAAATCAAGAAGATATAACAATTCTCAATAACCCAATAACAGCCAATGAAATATGAAATGTAATAAAGAGCCTGCTGACAAAGAAAAGTCCAGGTCCAGATGGATTCACAGTTGAATTCTACAAGAAATTCACAGAAGATACAATCCCTACACTCCTCAAACTCTTCAATGAAATTGAAAAGGAAAGAATTCTCCCAAAATCATTCCTGGAGGCAAGTATTATACTGATACCAAAACCAGGGAAAGATGCAACTAAGAAAGAACTACAGGCCAATCTCCCTCA